AGGACAGTAATCTTGCTTCCATCAGCTGCAACCCTTGCAAACAAGCAATCACTACTTTTTCCTCTGTCCTGTTCTGTGGCCTTTAAAGTTCAGCTGCTTTCAGTTGCTCATTATTTAGGAGAGGTCCCTTCCCCTGCTTTCTCCAGAACTCCCCAATCCCTCTCAAGCTCCCTGACCTTCCCCAGTTCCCCTGGCACAAGCCACAGCGCTATCCTTTAGCCTAGCTGGAAAAAGCAGGTTCAATGATGACTGGACTAAGCCTGTGCATCCAGGTGCCCAGAATCCACTGTGTAAAATGAGAATCCAAAGGATGGATTCTACAAGCCCATTTTTATTGATGCTCACCACAACAGCTCAAGGGGGAATCAATGAGACCTATAGACATGCAACATCACTGCAATTGCGAACCCTAGTTCCTCGGGGAAGGCAAGGCCCAGCTGGGTTTGCAGAACCCTGTGCTGCTTGCTGCACTTGTACCGAAGAGCTTCTGAAAAGCATGCAGAACACCAGACTGCTGGGATCAAGCACTGTCCCCTTCCCTGAAATAAGCGTCCATAACTGCCCACAGACATTTAGGTCCAGGACAGTCACTAGGACAGGCAGTAGGTGCTCCCAATGAGAATAAGTGCTGTGTAGGCCTCCCTGAGGTCAAGCCCCAAACAAAGATTAGACAGCTCCCATGTCTTCCTCTGAACATCTCAAAGCACTTCTCCTCCCTGGGCCCCTCCACCTACTCCACATGCAACTGGAGGCTGCACAACCACCTGACATTTGTGCCAGCTACCACCTCTGCCTCCTTCCTCTGGAACTAAACTAGCAGCCACCCCTAAGTGCTATCCCCACCACATGCACAGAAAAGCAAGTAAATGCATAGTTCCCCTGGGGACCATGGCAGGGGCCCAGTTTAATTATTTAAGACTCTGCAGGCCCAGAATCCCCAGAACAACCCCAAGAACTGTTCAGATGCTGGCTCCTGCTTCCATTTTCCCCTAAGAAACACCGGGAAGTTCCACTGGGGAAAGAAAAGGATATTCTCCAAGACACTAACAATTCCCTAAGACAGTGATAACACTGAAAACTGGGAAGAATGAAGGCAGGCAACCCCAGGCTCCCCTGTCTAAGAATGGGGGAGTTGTGCCACTATGCCCTGAGCTGGGATAAAGCTGGAGGCCTGTGGTCAGAGAGGGGTGTACTCTCTAGGGCCAGGAGAAGAGGAATCCCACTGCCGCATCAGTCCCACAAGCTGGTGAGTTGAAGCTTCTGCCTGTCCCTTTATATGACCTCCTTCAGCATCCTTGGAGACTACTGGCTGTGGAGAGACTGGACTAGCATGCCTCTGTTGCAGGTCTCGGCACACCACAACTTGGGTCTTCACCCCACAGGTCATTGGGTACTTTACTTAGGGAAGGGCATCTCTACTCAGAAAGATGTTTGGGCACGTGGTCAGGTCAAGCACATATTAAGCACATTAGACACACGCTTCCCTGATTCAGGGCCTGGCAGAAACAGTTCCTCCAGACTCTAGTCCCAGGGGTTTCTCTCACCTTTGATCCCAGGCTGTGGGTAGCAATGTCTGCTGCCGGGGTTAATACAGTCCTAACATGTTAAAGAGAAGGGCCTGGTTCATTAAACAGAAACAATGCCCCCACAGGGGAGCTTTGCCCAGGGGGCTGGCCTGTTAGGTTGCCAGTCCCAGACAAGAGGAGCACAAACCACTCCATTATTAGTGTTTCCAAATCCAGGAAAGAAACACACACTTGAAATATGCAAACTGATTCCTATTAATCAAGCCCAACTGCAGCGCTTCCCTGCTTAATCAATGTTTCATTAACATAATGGTGTAAGTCAAATTCAAATTAACTTAATTTGATCTTTATAAATTGACGGCTTAATGTCGCTTGGCATGGAGCATCAGCATCACCACTGCTTGCAGATTGCTGTTTCCAGTAATATGCTGAGTAAGAAGAGGCCAGAAATCAGTTTGCACTGGGGAGAGGAGGTGTGGGTCACTTGCCAGGGGCAGCATTTGAATTTTCATGCTCTTTAAAATAAAAGAAAATAATTTAGTGTTTGTGAAAGGCACCGACTCAGCTGTGCCAGGTGCTGCCATCTACTTATACCGGGTGTGTTTACACATGGGGCAGGCACGGTACAGGAAACAGCCATGCAAACCACACACAAGTCACTGACAAACCTCTGCCAGCGTCTGGGGGGGGGAAACGCCTGTGAGACAGAGCTCTCTATTTGTACAGCACTAGATGCCATGGGGCCCCAGCCTCATAGACCACCAAGTGCCCCCACACCATACATAAAAACTGTGGCAAGAGTCACTGCTACCTGGGCAGCAACCTGCAACCACAAGCAGTCCAGGCAGCCTGAGCTGGTGCCTTGGAGAGAAAGGTTTGTTCCCCTCAAGTGGACCTGCTTCGTTCTGCTGCTTCTGTCCTGCTTGCTGACAGTTTAGTTCCTCCTCACCCACTGGCTAGGCCCTGGGGTCTTGGAAGAGAACTCAGGCCCTTGTGTGGGATTAGGACACCCAATCTCATCAGTGGCACTTCAGTGCTGTCCCCATTTGGACACACTCACCAGACCTTGTCCCTGCACAGCAGAAGCACCTCACAACCAAGCAACTGATTGAACTTACAGCTTTCAGCATGCCAAAGGCCCTCAGTGCTAGAGACATACTCTGCCTTTGAATCAGGGCTCATACAGCAAGTAGCAGCTGTGAGAGCTGCCTGTACACCGATCCATCCCATGAGTTTATCCTCTATGGATGTTGCACTTTGGCTATGGAAGATGTTCCTTAATGCTTTAAATTGATCCCTCGAAACACCTGCCACCAGTATTCAGTGCAAGTTCCTTAATGAACTCATCTCTGACCGTGCTAACTCCTGAAAGGAAAACTTGAACCAAAGGGAGAAGCCCAAGGATGAGGAGTTGCATTTACAGCAGCCAATCACCTGGGTATCACTCCCCTTGGCTGGTATGGGTAACTGGCCAAAATGAGCCCAATGCACCCACAGACAGAGACAACAGATCCCCTGCAGGTGCCAGGGAAGCCTCCTGTCCTGGACCCCATACTGTAACACAGGCCAGACACATCTCTGGTAACCAGACTGGCCTTAAGTAACCCAGGCTGGCCACACCCAGGCTCAGAACAGGATTGACACTAAACAGACTATCACACTAGGGGCCCAACATAACCGTGAAAGAAGGGACCAGTCACCTGCCTGCAGGTAAGAGCTCCTGACAGGGGATGCTGCTAGGCTAGGGTCAGGGAGGCCCAAAGATCAACCTGAGGAGGGCAGGGCCAGCTGCCAGCAAGCCTTTAGTAGGCACCAGGGCTCTGGATCTCAGCATTTCCTGGGATTCTGGGGGGATCCTTTGTAGCCAGAAACAGTGTTAATGTACCCAATTCCCCATGACTTCCAGCATGCACTGCCAGCAGCTCCCCACCCTCCTCTCAACCAACACTGGACACATTGGCACTGTGCATCTTGGATGCCCCAATCCCCTTCCTATGGTGGGGCAAAGACAGCTCAGGAGCAGGGAGAGAAGCAGGACCTCAGCCCTTCCCCTGATGGGGTCCCAGGTGGCCTCCACAAGCACCAGCCATGGAGATGAAGCACAACAGCCAAGCGTGGCAAGGCCCCAGATGGGGTAACAGAACCCAGAGCAGCCTCACTTCTATGGGGCACAGAGCTACCTCCCTGCCCTCTCCGGGCAGCAACATTTCTAGGTAAGAGGACAGCAGAGGGAATTGGGCTGGCCCCCTCTGCCTGAGCTCAGGGGAGACTTTGGGAAAGCTGGGGGTGTCATGATGCAGCAGAAGGGCCAGCTGGGAGCAGATAACTGCATTTAGAATTAAGCAGTTCACCTTGCTGCAGAAAAAACAATCTGCCATGGGGTGGGAGGAACTGAATCCCAGGCCATGAGAAGCAACTCCCACCTGGCAGAAGGAACGTGTGGTGCTGCCTCAGCAGGGCCATGGCATAGCAGGTTCTAGGCCAAGGACATGCACGTGCAGAGCCAGCCTCCACTTCCAGGAGATTCAGGTTCTCGGGAGCAAATGCAGTTTCAGCACCACCAGGCACTCTGACACCAGAGTGAGAGCTCTGGCAACCCTTCCCCATGGTCTGTCCCAAGGCACAGGGAGCAAAACCCAGGAGTCCTGTGTGGGATGCATCTCCATGAGGCTTGGGACCACAAATGAGGGAGACCAGCTCCAGTCAGCTCTGCAGCTGCCAGTGCAAAACATCGCCTCGGCCACATACTTCTGCAGTCCTCACTTTTAAAGAGCATAGAGCATGAGTTACTGGCAAGGCCCCCTGGTGCAGAGCATGGCAAGCCATGCTCCCCAGGTACCGACAGCCCCTGGCCAATCCACTCCAGGCAGTGTTAGGCCCCATCCCTTCCAGTGGGGGTCACATTATTTGCTATCCCCCTGCACCCCTGCCTCCCCCCACACTCCTGCAATATCCATCTCTGCTTGCCTTCCACTTGCCCCCTGCCTCCCTGGGCTCACAGCCTACCCAGCACCAGTTCCTGGCCTGTCCCTGGCCAGCTGCAGCTTCTGCCTGGGGTCTGGTCAATAGGGTGCCTCCTCTGAAGCAAGGATCCTGCCAGCAAGGAGCCCTGGATGTTGCTAACCCTCAGGCTCCTCCTGTTCCTGACACTATATTTAGATGGTGCCACTGTGCAAGGGCATGGGAATGGGACCCGTAGAGCCCTGGGACTCTGAGCTGGGCAGACAGTGGGCAGCTCTGGCAGGAAGTGGATGTTCTTGGGCCACCACCCACTCCAGAGTGCAGAGCAGGCTGCCTGAGACACTTGGAAGCCCGCAGGCAGTTGCAGCCCCAGGGCTCGGTGTGCAAAGTGGGGGCACCAGGCCACAAGCAGCTGGGGAGGAGGGAGGAAAGGGAAAGGACAGGTTAAGTAAAGTGACTAAGAGCACAATGTCAGGCAGTGGCAGAGGTAGGAGGAGCAGTTGGAGGAAAATGGAGCTTAGGTGTCCTTGGCATGGAGGCCATTCCTCAGCTTGCTTCCTCGGACACCAAAATGCAGGTATTTCCAGCATGGAAGGCTGAGAACACATGGCAGAACAAGCCAGTCGCCCTCCACCAGGCCTTGCCTGCTCCTGCTGCCTATGGTTGTTTACAGTGTGATGAGAGCTTTGCAACAGAAACAGAGATGTCACATCCCACACACACACTCCTCTCCACGGCTATATTTAGCCCCCCCGATTTATTTATTTATTAATGCTTAAGGCCAGCCATCCAGGCAGGAAGTCAGAATTCTTAGGAGCACAGGGGGATTTCACACGCACACAAACACGCCAGCTTTCTGAGCTGCGCTGCTCTGCACTCGCTAAGGGAACATTGTTGTCTGGGAGCCTTCCCAGTGCTAGTGCTGGGAGGTGTTGTTAGCAGGCTGCCTCTAGGCACACACTGCTCCCTCCCAGCCCATAAAGGGCCACATCCCCAAGAGAAATGCAGCCATCCTACCCCACAGAGGCTGTTAGTTACTAAACTGCAACACTCAACAGCAGGAATTACCTGCTGGCAACATGCACAGGAACCAGATATTCTGGGAAGGAAACATTATCCAGGCATCCTGCACCTTAGCCATGTTCCTTCTGCAGCTAGCTACATGATTCACCTCCTCTTCTGGCCTGGTCAGTGCCAGAGCCCCACCTCACCCCTGCCATGTGCTCTTTGCAAGGATCCTGCCCACACCATAGCCCTGACCCCAGAGGTACAGACACCCCCTCCATTACCACTCCTTTCTCTCTTCTGGGCTCCTCAGCAGTCATTCACAACATGCCCAGACTTCTCTTTATCCCTCAGTTTTCATTAGGAATGCAGACTCATGTGATAAGGACACTTCAAAGGCATAATTATTTAGCAGTTAATCAGCATTAAACTATCTCTGCCACCATGTATTAGCCTTTAAATTAGAGAAATACTTTGGACCTGGGCTTTGGGGGGGGGGGATTGCATGAAGAGTCATGCAACCCCTCCCCCCCCCACACACACACACACAAGGTCCCACCCACCCTTCTGGATTGCCACTGATCACAGCAGACTATGCTTGATGCTTGCTGGTGACTTCTATCCTATGCAGCCCAGCTGAGCCTTCCTGTAATGTATCCCTGGAAATTCTGAATCACAGAACACAGGGAAAGTGCCTGAGTTCAAGGCTCCCATCTCACAGCCTCCCCCGCCCCCTCCACTGCTGTGCTCAGCTGTTCCCTTCATTTCACTTCCCTCTCCCACACATTTCCGAGACCTATTTGGCACAGCTGGGTTGAAGCAGGCGGAGGGAGAGAGCTGGGGTGGTAATGCAGTGCCTGCATCCCTTCATGGGACCCAAGCATGAAAGCGAAGGTCAGGAGCCAGGTGCAGGCCCCAGCCTAGGGGTCATGGACAGAGCTGAGGGTGGCACAGGAAGCCCAGCTGTCTGCACTGTGCCACTGCCCAAGATTTTCAACCTAATCTCTGAATTCCCACATGTGGAAGAAGAACCCAAGCAGGAACCAGGAAATTTGGTGAGGCCCACCCCTCAAACACAGCCTTCTCCAAATTCCTATGTTTTGGACATGAAGTTGTCCCTCTTCACCATGCAAAGCAGGTAGGGGTCAGGTCTCACAAGCTGCAGAGCACACGGGATTGGCTAGACGCCAGGACCAAGGCCCTCTCTGTGCCTCTGTCAGTGCCTAGCACAGGGGTGGCGTTCCCATAGCTTGGGGAAGCTCACAGCAAGCACTGATGTAGCACAATGAAGCACAATCCTAGAGAGGCCATTAATAGCCCCTTGCACACAGGTGGGATGAGAACACTTTCTTGGGCTTGTATGCTTTGCCTTGGCCCCAGCCCTTCCCAGAACAGCTAGCGGATGCTTGTGCAGTCTCTGCTGTTTAGGAGGAGGCAGAAGGGGCTTCTCATCATTTAGCTCCTGTCCTACATGATTCTCTTTAGAGACACTGGAAGAAAATCCCAGTTGGCTCAATTACATTCTATCTTGCAAGATACCTGTAGCCCTTGGGACCCAAGGCCTACTTCCCCCAGCAGGGCAGCAGCCCAGTCCAGCAAGGAGGAGAAGCCCTGATGACAGGTGTAGACAGACAAGTCATGGTCAGCCCAGAAACACCCCTCTTCAGAACCTTAACGGTGCTGCCCCAGACCACTAGGAGCCGGAGTGGTGTTTTGTCTTCAGATGCAATGGGAAGAACTCAGCACAAACTATCAGGCAGAGTAAGAGTGCCACCCTGCTGGAAAGTGTGGATCGCATCATGGACCTAAACCAAAACTACAAATCAGTTGCCAACAGCAGATTTACCAACCAGAAGTTACCTTAGATTCTCATAAACGCATTCAAATCTTTCATGGTCACAGCCAGCTCTTTGGAGACAGGCTCTGAACCCCAGTGACACCAGCAGGACATAGCCACCTATACGCTTGACAATCTGTCCCCATGTGCCCAAACACCAAGTCCACCTGGCAGCTGCTGCTGGTCCTTGGGATCAATCCTGCTAGAAATGATGTTCTTGGACTACATAAACCATAGCACCCACCCCACACTCCTGTAGGTGACCCAGAACTACCCCCTCCCCCTCCATAGGCACTCACCAGGATGGGGAAGCCCATCAGGAAGTCATACATGAACACAATCCCTGTGATAAGGTAGGTAATCTGCAGAGAAGTCTTGAGGGGCTCAGAGCCATCGATGGATGAGCGTCGCTTGCCCTGTGCATCTTCCACCACGATGGTGGGTACGTTGAACTTGTTCTTGTCCACATTGTGCCCCATCTGGATGGAGAAGGTCTGGAAGAGGGTGATGCCCATGCAGACAACACCCATCACCACACTGCCACTGATGAGGAGGAGGAAGCACACGCCAAAGCCCAAACCAATCTCTGTGACGATGAACCGGCAGTCCCTGGCGTAAAAGCGCTCAGTGGTGTCGTGCCATCCCACAGCCGGCAGTGTGGACAGGATGAAGGATACCATCCAGATCCCCATCACAGTGTGAACGGCTTGTTTCTTGGTATTGCTTAACCTGCAAGGGAGGGGGGAAAGGAGGACAGACTCCCCTTGACACATGCAAGCTGCAAGGCATAGCCCAAGGGCATGGTGTCACAGGCACTGTCAGCCACGTTGCAGAGCCATGTCCCAGCCAGACCAAAGCATCTGCAGATATGGCGTGAAGACAGCAAGCAGCTACTCCACTGAGAGCAGCATTCAGGGGGCAGAGAAATGGCCAGACACAGACTGGCTCCTGGAGACCTGCAAAAAGGATGGGGAGATGGGGATCGAGATGTACACTGGGGGGACACGTGGGCTGTCTGCCTTCCCCAGCCCTCTCCAAGTACATGCCCCACACAGTCAAGCTGTGCTACCCTCCAGTTCCTAACTGGTACAAGCCTGCATGCCACCCACCCCCACTTCCTGGGCTAGGATCTCAGCATTGACAACCAGGTCCTTGGCAGCTCCCAGCTTGTCTGTGTGACTCCCACATCCCCAGATGCCAGTAAAGCAACACTTCCACCTGCAGCTAATAAAGTACGTGGCACCACACAAAGGACCTGTACCCTTTCTGCTGGCTTCCTAGTGGGCCTAGTGGTTTGAAAGAAGGCTGAACTTTGCCATCTGGGTGGTTGGAGCAATCAGCAAAGCCTGGCGTTAAGCTACGAAGGTATTGTTAGGTCCTTGTAGATTTGGAAATTCTGTCCTATCTTAAAACATAACACTTTGTTTCCTGTTTTACAAAGATCAGTAGGAGCAGCATATCAGCCATCTGCCCATTACAGGAAGCTTCATGTGAGTGTACAAACAACATCCGTCTCAGCACAGAATCACCAACCCAATGTCATGCAGGTCACCTGAAAGGCAAAGGATAGTGCTGACTGGCCTATTCAATGCAATGAACTGGAAGGCGACACAGCCAGCATCTCACCAAGCTGAGTATGGCAAGGAGTTTCAAGCAGGCCAAAGCTTGGGCTGGTGTGATTGATGGGTTTCCAAATTTGGGAGCTTTCTAAGGAGTTTCTCCAGGGCTGAAGCTCTGCATACAAACCCAGGGAAAAGTGTCTCTTTTTATCCTGTTTGCCTGTCAGCTATTTCTCAGTCTATTTATAAATAACTGATGCTGCAGCATCTGAATCCACATAAATGGTTAAGGAGAGAAAAGCTAATGAAAGTCATTTGGTTAAAAGGAGATAAAAAAAATGAATTCCAAGAACAGCTCCAGGTGTGTGTGTGTGCAGGCAGAGAGCACAAGGCAGGAAGCGTACGTCCTTTTTATGTAAACCCCTCCCCATTTAGAAGATGTTTTTGGAAGGCAAACATGCCAAAGACTGCTACAACAGTTTGTATGTTTTGTGACCTGCACACCACACTCTTTTTAGAGATGGAGTTTTCTTCTCACCCCTGGAAAGCAAGCATGGCAGATGCTTCCTGATGGACTGGCTGGCAAACACCCTCGCAGGAAAAAAATTCTGCAATACAGATCACTTTGAAAGGGAATATATTTAAATGATAGATAACGTGATAAAAGGGAATTAGATCCACAAACATCAGAGAAGGCAGGAGCTTGTACTGAGTGTTTGTGTGTCTGCAGTATTTCAGATGCTCAAAGAATAAAGTTGTAAGGCTAATTCATTGATCAAATGGATTTAATAGTCTTCCATCAAATACCAGGTCTGAAAGTGTGCTGTATGTGGCATTATGATGGGATGTTTGTCGATTTAAGGGGGAGCTGTAAAGATTTTTCTGTTCTTGTTCATCTTCCAAAACCCCCAAAATCAGGGTTATGGGGCTACAGAACTCTGGATCCCACATCATGGCATCTAAGCATCAAATATATCTCCTTCCTGGGAAGTAGCACTGGGATCTCTCAGTGTAAGTCAGAATCATAATTACATTAGTGCTGCGTGCCCTGCTCCATGCTAGAGCGAGGTTCTGTCAGAGTTTCACGCAGGAGTTTTTCCCAAGTCTCCAGACACGCCTCAGGCCAATATTGGAATACCAGGAATTGCACTTAAAAATGTGACAGAAAAAGAAACCAAATACATTCTTGGGTGAAAGAGAGGGGGGTTACCTGTAGTTGACTGGCCAGCGGACCATCCACATGCGGTGGTAGGACAGTGAGGTAACCGAGAAGCAGGTGACCAGTGTCAAGGTGTAGAAGGTGGAGACAAAGACCTTGCAGAGGCCCTCATTCCACTCGTAGTCTGAGTGATGCTTCCGGAGCTGGATCACAGAATACATGGTGACAGGGATGGCAATATTAAGGATGTGCGTCCCGGCCAGGGTACAGATCAAGAACTCCAGTGGCTTCCATTTCTTCTGCTTGGCACTCACACTCAGGATCCCCCAGGTGTTGGTGAGAATTGAGACCCCCGAGCAGACCAGCCAGGCTACTGCGTTGTTGTGCAGTCTCTGCTCATCATTCATGGTGGAGGATGGAGGCACCATCAGATGAGATGAGTTGTGGGTGGCATGCGAGGATGGAGGAGGGAAGCAAATACATCCTACAGAAGAGCATGAACCATACAGGGGAGCTCGGGCAAGGAGCCACTTCCTCTCACTGCTCAGTGCTGCCAGGCTGCCCAGAGCTCCATGCAATGCCAAGACCTGCAAGGAAATAAATGGAAAATTTGGCAGGTTCAGGGCTTGGCTGAGGTTTCCCCCCTTTGTTTCTAGACCTGTGTGTGTAAGTGTGCATGTGTATGTGTGTGTGCATGAGTGTGTGAATACTGGACTGATCCTACAGGGGAGCCATCCTGGGCAGAGCAGAGGCATACTGGAGGGCAGCACTGGGACAGTCTCTGTTAAGGTAGAAACTGGCAGGTGGGCAAGGCTGAGTGCTGTGACAACAGGTGAAGGATAAAATGCCAGAGCAGCAGGGGGAGTTGGGGAGATCTGCATGGGAGAAGCTAGTGCTGGCGTGTGGGTCTGGCTTTGCACATGGGTGGGGAGAACGAGCACTCAAACTCCATCCCATTGGGCTGCATAGCTGGAGTACAGCCAGCAGCAGCAGGAAATCATTATGAGTCCTTCATCCCAGGAAGCTTCTCTATCTTAAACATATCTTTTCCAAAGCAAGCAGCCACAGTCACAGCCACAAAGCAAGCAGCCCAGCAGGAATGGGGACAGTACTTAGCATCTGCAGTGTGTTTCTGAGCTGAGCTGCTTGGCATTTGATTAATTAAAACAAAAAAACAGCCCCCAAGCCCTTTGCTGTAGCCTCAGAGGCAGCTTGCCTAGCATCCCCTTCATCCCCCTGCCAGGCTGCCATGCAAACCTTACTCGACCTTCAGGATGTGACATTATCTGTCAAACCATGATTTACTATTTAATCTAAAAGAGCTTTTTGCTGCAGTTACAGGAGCTTGAAAAGAGCAAATGTATTTTTCATTAAACCCTAAGCATCTCTAAGATGCTGGATCCTGAGAGCCATGCACTGCTCCCTCCTTGCTCAGACGAAAGCCAGCACCAGCACTCCCAGGACCCATGAGCAAATGGAAGAGACCATCCCCAGATCCTGCTCGTAGTCAGGTTGCGCTCCAGAAGCCTAGCATCTCCCCAAGGAGCTCTAGTTCTGCCAGACACTCCTCAGATGCTACAGAAGCCCAACACTCCCCACCATGCTGCGTGTGGAGCACATGGCCAACCAAGGAACAGCTGGGGAGGACTTTTCCCCAAGCCACATGGCCAAGACCTGCTTTGCTAGGAGGAGACTGAAGAGTCTGCAAAAAAGGAGATGTTCAGGCAGCCATCTCCCCTGCATGGGGCAGCCCCCAGACCTCTGAGCTGATGAAGCTGTGCAAACCAGAGGTTTGCTGCAGCAACTGTTGGGGGTCTTCCACCATTTACCAAGGGAGAGGATAGAGCAAGAGAAACCTGATGCTGAGGCAGAGAACACGAGAGAGACGGTGAAGAAAACAAGGGGCCGGTACAAGCAGAGGGTCCCAGCCTAACAAGAAAGTGGGAGAACATAGAAAAGGGATTGACAGGCCCAGGGCACCCGTTTTATAGGCTGCATCATCAGCTTTGCCCTCACCTCTATCTGCTCACCCTGGCAGGACAGCAGAATGGGAGGTGGGGTGGGTGGGGTGGATTTGACAGCCCCATGTGGAGATGTGGTATGGCACAGCCTGCTTCTTTCCAACTGCTGTAAGCTGTCCACAGACTCAGGTCCATGCTGCTGCACCTGCCCCGGTGTGTACTCAGTACAACTGAGCCCCAGCCCCTGGATTAAATGAGCAGTAGCTCTGACTACGGAGCTTGCCCCCATCTCTGGTTTGCCACTTGCCTTTGGGGTGATACTCATCAGCCTTTCTGGGCTCCCCCAGTGGGGCAGGATGGGTTAGGACTTGGAAGGGGCTTCAGCTGGGGGCTGACCATCTCACAGAGCATCTGTATCTCATACGAAGCCCCTAGTTTAAATGGCAGTAATGTGTACAGTGTGTGATGGGTGCCTCGGGAAATCCAAATACATAAATATGTACTAAAAATAGAAATCCCAGCCAGAGCTGCTCTGAGGCTCTGCAGTTCGGCACCATCCCCAAAGGCAGGGGAGAAGTCGGGGGCCATGCGGGAGCAATTTTAAAAGGTTCTTGCTGAAATCCAGCAGCCCTGGTTAAAAATAAATGACACCTACAGCAAACATGTGGCTATTCCTGCTGGGGATACAGCATCTCCCTTCCCACTTCTCATTCTCCTTTTTCTATTGGACTGCCGTGGCAACCCAAATCATCATCAAGGGGATAAAGTACATTCACCTTAATGCCTTTCCAGTGCCGCCAGCACCAGTCTGAGACTGAACCCTCCAGCTCAGTGTCAGGCTGGTAGTTGAAGGGACTTGCACTCTTTTGCACAAGGGCAATGCCAGGGTAGGTCCACCCTGCTAGAGCTGCTAAGAGGGATGTGCAGGACTAGGAGCTGTTGCTAGACCCCTGGCGAATGAGTGCATGCCAGGACATGGGCCACAGGCAGAGCATGAACCCTCCCAGTTCTGCCTCCACATTTTTGCTGTCCCAGCTGCCATGTCCCAGGCCACCTGCAGCCTGCTGGCACACTGCACCTACTCCCCTCAACACTTGGTGCCTGCATCCCCAGCACAGGTGGGACAGCCATATGTCAGCAGTGGGTGGGACCTAGGGCCCACAGTGAGATATCATGGGGAGGGAGAGAGTCAGCATGGACACAGCTCCCTTTCACAAGGGGAAGATGTGGAAAGAGCTCTTGATCTGCCTGCCCAGAGGGCTTCAAGCCTAGGTGCAGAAAATGGCCCTGGGCAACAGCGGCAGCCTGTGCCCAGTGCAGTAACCCACAAGGGAGGGTTGAAGCTCTGCTATCCCCCCACAGAGAACAATCCTGGCAAGAAGGCTGCAGCAGAGGCCAGTACAGGAAAGACTTGGGCTCAGCTTGGATGCTCAGAGGAGGAAGCTCTCTGCCAGCATCTGTCACCACCAGTTTTCTACTGTGGCTGTAGGGTTCTGTCTAGGATGCAGCAGTGGCTGCAGATAACTTCAGGCCTGAACCAGAGGTCTTTACAACTCCATGACAAGAGAACAGCATGGCTGCTCACATTCCCTGATCCTAGTAACTCAGTGTTTTTCCTCATATAGAGGCAGGGGCAGCTGCAACTTGAATAGTCAGACAAGAGTTGTATACCAGGTCCCCAATCTGTTCCCCTCCCTTTCCCTCCCCCACCTCCATGCCATAGAGCCCCCTTTTCTGGCTTGTGTCTGTTCCCCAAACCAGAGACAGCTTTGCCTCCAACTGCAAAATCCTACTCCCACTACGAAGGCTCCCTCCTCCCTCACTCAGGGATGCTCTGGTGAGGGCACCCTTCACCTAGATGGTGAAGAGCCTGCCCCTGCCCGGACTCCTCGCATCATGAACATCAATGGGGCTGAGAGTCAGGGTGCAGCCACCTCATGTCCAGGGGAGGCCTACGTAATTTCCAAGCTCGTTGTTGATTCATAGATTCATAGATTAAGGGTCGGAAGGGACCTAGTAGATCTTCTAGCCCGACCCCCCGCCAGGGCGGGAGAACAACAAAAAACCCCAAAAAGAGAAACGGGACTCAAACGAGTCCAGCCAGGTAGGCATCCAGCCTCTTCTTAAAGACCCTGATGTCAGGTGCTTAGCTGTGATGTTCAACAGGCCTTGCCTAGGGCTACATAGGCAGTGGAAGGCTGAGGCTAATGGGGCTTAGCTCCCCAACCTGGGCCAGTGAAAGTGGCTCCAGTACCACTGCTGCCGCAGCACCGCGCCCAGCACCCTGCCACATGCTCCTCCACCACCACGGGCACAACACCAGCACATGCTAGCCCTGAAATGGCCCTGCAGGAGGGGAGGGAGGGGTCAGGTGGGCGTACTTCACACTGCCCAGTCCCCCACAAATAACATTTTTTAGTGCCGCTTCTGGGCTGCACCCTCACTATCCCCCTGAGAAATGGGCTCATCTCACGGCCCTCCAACCAGCTCCACACAACACTCCTTGTGCCCTCTTCACACCTTTCCTACACAGAAGCCAGAGTTGCACCAGACCTTGAGAGGAATCGGGTGGTTGCATCCACTATGCACGCACAACTGGCCTGGGAGAGCTTGTCCAAAGTGCTGACTGAACACTCCACCGGTATCAGGGAGGCATTTTCTGCCTCCAGAATAAATGCTGCACATTACCAAATGCAAACATTTGTTTTAATTTCTCACATTGCATCCAAGAGTAGCAGGCCGGCAGTGATCTGAACTGCAGGTCAGACCCAGAAAATCCATTCAAATGTGTATGTTACTAACACAAGGCCAACTATATTTTTTTGATTGCCACAGAATGTCTGCAGTTGTGAGTCAGACAGATCTCAGCCAAGCCACTGGGAGCCATTGTGGGTTTTCCATCAAGAGAATAAAGGCACTTTATTTTCTCTCTCATAAAATAATTATGGAAAAAAATAAACTGTACAGACTGCTGTGCTGTTTGCAGTACACCACCAAAGCCAACACCCTGGCAATTGTGTGGCATTCAGGGGCAAATTACACCTTGCATTAAACTGCACAAAAGTAAACAGAGAACACAAGTCAGAACTACAGAGCCCCAGACATTCAGAGGTTAGCATTACACCAAATGTTTAATCTACACTATCATGCTTCAGTGCTATGACACATAACAGCACTCCATGGAGAAAACTTCCTCTAGCACAATGAGCAAGACACAGTCTCAAGCCATGATCCCAAAGCTCCCTGTTTTTGCAGCCCTGTACACCATTTGATGGCTTAAGGTGTTGTTACAGGTTACCCTCAGGCCATACTAAAGGCACTTAAAACATGAGAGTCCGCACATTAAAGTGGATTCCCACTCATGCTAAGTGCTCTCTAAGCATCTCAAAAGTTATGCCACTTGAGATAAGGAGTATCTTCAGGTTGTGGCACCTGGCTTGTGTTACAGTAATGTCAGTCCACTGCACAGAGAGAAAACAAGCAATTTGCAATCCTCCAGCATCCCAGGATGCACCATTCCCAGCCTGCACCATTCCCATCCCTCCTACTCCTGCTTCACGGATGAACTTTCTGCACTCCCAAACTCAGGGAGTGGTACTGGCCCCGATCTAACACTCCCACCCACATCCAGGAGGTGCCACCCTGGCCCAAATAGCACCATGTGGGCACCCACTGGCATCCTTATGGCTTGCCACTGTTGCTCAAGTGCTCCTGTGCCAAGAGCCCTAACTACCTTTGTTAACTGAATCAAACCAAAGAATGTCCCCTTGGATCCCATCAGGCAGGCCTCAAACTGGACTTGTGGTAAGGTGCTGGATCTCACTGTGATCTGGGGAAAGGAAAGAATCATTGCCACCACTGCCAGGGACACAAAGGGGAACTTGACAGAACCAGGTGGTCTATGGACGTATTGCGGTTCAGATGGTGGCTCAGGGGCACCTATAAGACTGAATGGAGATTCATATTAAAATCAAGTGCCTGAAATCCCAGTACATTCAGGGCAGGGATGCCAATAAGTTCTCAGGCACAGCAAGGACAGTGAAGAGCTACCCCAGACCCTTGAGGAAGACACCATCAGTCCCCACCACTCCATGCACTGCATACTCATGGGTCTGGTACAGCACAATAACAACAAAGGCAACAACGAAGCAGGCTCCCTGCCACCCCGATACCAAAATGGCCACAGAGGAGCATGAGGATAGCTGCTTTGTGGACTTTTTTCCAGACAGACTCCAACCTTGTCCTCTACAAACTCAAACCCAGGATGACAGAGAAAATGGGAGTTGCTTGTATAACACCCTCATCTCACAGACAGACATGGACAATTCAGCATCAACCTCTGGTAAATCTCAGTGACTGGGGGTGGGAAGGGTGACTGGTAGTGTGCTTGGAGGATCAAGGGATATGGGAGCATCTCACGGCTTGGAGACAATTTGAGGCTCTGAGTGTCTCATGGCCTGAGGGTCTTTCTGGGCTCTAGGTGTGATCACGGATGAGGTGGCTAGTCACAGGGATTGCAATTAGCAATCACCCCAGGTACATGCAGCCCAAACCTGCCCCAGCCAGATGGCCCTGCACCTGACCCTGAGCCAGACCCAGTCTCCTCCACTTGATCCCAGACCCCCAGGCTTCCCTGGGGTGTGCTGTGCTTTTCGCCCAGAGCCAGGCAAAACCCAGGGACAAGCAGATTTCCCCTTTTCCTAAAAGCACCAGCAGCTCCTCCCTTGGCCAGGCGGCTTCATGGAGGCCATAGCTTTACCTTGAAACCCCCATGTGCCTGACCTGGGCTTGGGGCAGCCCCAGAGATAGCTGGCCCCATCCCCTGTGGCTCCACCAATTTCTCCC